GTGTCTGACACTTTGCAACCCTATGGACTGTGGCCTGCCAGGCTCCTCTGTCCATGGCAGTTAGGACCAAATTGTGGAAGTCAAAGAAGGTGTAAGTGAGATGCTATATGTGTATGCAGAGAAGATTATTCACGTAAGTAAAAGTATTGAGGATAATGGAAGGCAGGCTTCCCACAGTCAGAAGGGATGTACAGATAAGGAAAGGAAGAGAACTGCACGTGCCCTGAAGTGTTGAATGGGGTTGTAGTACGTTTGTGAACTCATGGTGTGCTAAAAAAGCTGATGCCAAGACAGGATGAAATAGACAAGAGGTTAACTGGGGAAAACAGAGAAAATGGGAAGGGAGCTGGCAGAGGTTGTGAATGCTTAACCTCTGTGGGAAAGGGAAGGATAGAAGGTTGAGCTGGAAGCATCTAATCTGGGGCTGTGGGCAGTTGTAAGAGTTCCAGCGAAGGTGAGGGGGCGTGCTGAAAGCCGCAGCTCCCTGTCAGAGCACGCCCAGGTCTCTGAGCAGCAGGCCAGTTGTAGTGTCTCCACTGCACTCAGTCATTAGCTGGAAGCAGCTGGGGGAAAGCGTAGCTTTGGCGGAAACAACGATGGGTTTCAGAGCACAGCAGCTGGGGCTGTCAGTCAGTTATGCTTCCTGCAGTCAGAGATCCAAGAGGCATGTTTTCATGACTGCTACACATGGTTTTCAATGGTTATAGATACAGAAATAAGTGTATGGAGATAAAAATGTAAATGTGGACTCTTTGGATAAATGGCTGATTTCGGAGCTGCAGAAAACAGTGGAAGATGAGCCTGGAACACATTGTGGCCTGAAAGCAAGGAAGTGCTCAAAGGATGACAGGACACAGGAGCCAGCTTGACCCAGATCCCACTGGCCAAATTGGGAATAATTTCAGCATCAGAAACAATTACGATTGTAGTGGATTATATGGCTCTTTAGATAAAATATTTCATGACCATAAACCTCTACAAATCAATAAATGAATAACTTGGGAGTTTAAAAGCTACACAGTTTTTCAATACCTGTTATAAAGAGGAAGAGAATAACTTCATAGTGGAGAAGCCTGGTAGACACTGCCTGAATCAAGTGATCCAAATTAACATTATCAGTAAATTACACGTCATTTCAAAGGAGGCCACGGGAACAACATAGCATCACTTCTGTGACACATTCCTGCCAAAGATTCATAACTTGCCACTGATCACAGAGACATCAAACAGTCCAGAATTACTGGCCTGTACTCGTGAGAAGTTTCAGGGCTGTGGTAGACTAAGAAAGATTGAGCTTCTCCAGACTGAGGAGACAGGGTAACAAAATGAAAAAACCTGATTTTGCTCTAGATCCACTTGCCCCTAAGTTCTCTATTGGAACAGTTGACAAAATTTGAGTAAGGTTGTAGGTTAGATAGCAATAATGTGTCAACATCGATATCCTGGTTCAAGTCATTATTTACTGACTATGTCGGAAAATATCCTGATTTGTCGGAAATGCACCTTAACGGTTTGGGGGATGATGGTATAAACAGGTCATTTGCTCTCAAATGAATCAGAGATCAGCATGTTCTTTGTTATTGTACTTGCAATTTTTCTGTAAGATTGTTTTAAAATTAATTATCCCCTCCTTCCCCTACTTTTAAGTAATCTAGTTAATTTTAGTCAGTTATCTGACCTTCTCTATATATTATTGCTTCCAATCTTGGATTTGGGGTGTAGGGATTAGGGAAGGCAGGCAAAATTGTGATCAAGTAATTATTGTGAGTGAAATCTATGTTTTAAGAATTCTATTCTCATATATGGACACAGCATACCTTTTCCAGATTGGCAGAATATAGTACCCCCTGGTTTCAAAAGTATCTTATAATGAGAAAGTAAATGCTTTCCACAACCTGCTAGCTACGGAAACGAGTGGGCAGGGAGGATGTCAGGTACATGGAGACCTTTTGAGAAAGCTCAAGAGACCCATGTTGCTTGTGTTTTTCTCAGGAACATCTGATCCTGCATGGTGGAAACAGTTCACTTCCCATATAACCTAAAATTCTCCTTGAGCTTGGAGAAGCATTTCAAGTCCAGCACTTATTCTCTCTGTTTCCAGCTGATACAGAGAGATGATTTCCTGTTAGACTTTCAAGACTGTTAGGTCCCTTTTTGTATGCTGATTGTGAATTATCCATTCGAGCCAGACATGTGTAATTGGAATAGAATTACTGATACACTCAAGAAAGCAGAATTTATAAATTTGTCTAAAGCAGCATAATGTCATGGCACATAATTTAATGTTCTCTTTTCTTACTGGGCAACTAATCAGTACACCAGTGTTGAGTTCTGAGCCATCTTTGGCCAGGGGGAAATCTCCTGACCTTTCATTAGTGGCCCAAAGAAATGAATGAGAGAGTCAAGTACATGGATCTCGGCTAATTCCATTTTATTTGTCTCCCTTTCATTCTCTTTAAATACAAGTCTTAGATAATGGGGAGGAGAATGACAAAAGCTGGGAAGGCATGTTGAAAGCTTTTGTTCTTAATTCTATGCTGGGCAAGCTTGGCTAATAAATGCTTAGGATAAGAAATAATGTTCCAGTGCTGTATTTCTCATACTTGGCTACAGAGCAAGAAAGACACAGCCCTTGCCCTCTTTGACCTCATCAGTTTGAGTTGGAAGATGGATGACGAATTAATTGTAATATAGTGTGATTTCATAGGGGAACACATACCGAGATGAAAATGCACGTGGTGTGACTCTCACACACCTGGCTCATGGGCGGGGCCCCGTAGTGATATCTGTCATTGTTTCCTGTGTTTTTACCCTCCATGCCGATGAGCACTAACATTGCAGCAATTCTCCAGGAAAAGTCTGTTGTTTAGGAAAAAGAAGCTAAGAAAACATGGATTGCACTGAAGCTTTGGAGAGAAGGGACAGGAGGTGATGTGCAGGTCGTGGAGTTTAGAATCTGAGGCCCTAACTAGTTTGCAGATATTTGCTGGCAGGATCTGGAGGGTGAGAAGCCCACAGGAGAGGAAAGGGTTGTGTCCTTGGTTCTGCTGGCCATGCAGGAACTCAGTTCAATACTGTGAATTGATTGGAGCAGCATTAACCAGGATGGATCATTAAACATTTGTGCTGTTTTGCTTTGTATTCTCCAGCTTTTCATATAGAGGCTTATTTGTGTGGGTTTTTCCCTCGCCTTCTCTGTCACTCCAGCTTTCTGCTCCAGACCCCACATATCGACTGTAAAATGTCAATGCTTTGTTATTCCAAACGCAGCACCAAACATGTCTTCGTTGTTGTCCTGGCATTTCCAATCACTAAGCCCTCACAACCTGTTGCAGGTGGGCGTGTCCCAGCCATCCCTCTGGCCTCTTGGTGGGCGGAGCCTCTCTCCTGCCCTCTTGGGCCTTGAGTGAGACCCTTAGTTAAATTCTCCCCATCTACAGCTGCTAACTTGGGGCTGCTGGCATTCTCCACCCTGCCAAACCCAGCTCGGTGATGATGACAGCGTTTGCCAGCACGCTTATGCAGTGACTCAGGAGACAGGGTGGCCAGCAAAGCAGCCTCTTTGTGGGAGTGGATTTTGAGAAGTGCTAATTCTGTGGCAGTTTGGAGATATTAATATCGTGCTGGCAGTAGATAAACAGGCAGCAGAGGGGCACATAATGAGAAGAGAATCAGCCACAGCATCTTTTCCTTCTTTATCTCCCTGCACATATTCCCCCCTCTCTTTTTTTTCTTCTTTCTTTTAGAGTAAATCCCTGGGCCTCGATGAAGAGAACCCTTAAGTGGCTTGAGCATGCCCATAGACTGGTTTAGCCAAGCTCACAGCATGCCCATAGGCTGGGAGTCTGAGAGTACCAGAGTGCTGAGAGTTAACCGCCTTCCCCAGCAGCACTGAATCACAGCATATGGTACAGTAGCCTATTCCTTACCATCCCTCCTCCCTGAAGGGCGGCTCGCCAGATGGTCTGAGCGGGTCCTTTGGTGTACTTAAAGAAAGACATAACCGCCGCTCTCCCCCAGTGATACCATGCCTCTTGTCTTGCAGTTACTTGCTGCAGGTAACTTTTGAAAATCTGTTTTTGCAGTTTGACTTTTGCCCATTGAAGTTCCCGTTTCGGATTGGGGAGGAACTAGGCGAACACGCTTCATTAGGTGGCCGAGCATCATTTTCAGTGGATTCTTCTGAGTAGAGGGAAGTCACTTATAGTAGCCCCGCTATCTTACTCTAGTGAAGAGAACGTGCAGCACGTTGAAGATTTTTTTTTTTTGAAGCAGGATTCTAATTTGAATATTCTGTGGTCCTAAAAGGACTGGAGTATTGCTTCAAAACTGGTCATCTGAGACTTTCTACTTTTTTACTTTGTTCCCTAGCTCATGCCATTTTTAATGAAGATGTTTCGTTCCATCCCAACACCACCCCTCTGCCACCCCACAGTTCCTTCCTGACCTCACCTCACCCAGGCCCCCTTGGAGTCAGCGGAGAGTCAGTGTCCAGGGCTCTAATGAGAAAAGACACACTCTAGAGTGTTCCGTGAAACCAGCGTTTCTTAAGTTTGCCAAACTGGAGCACAGTATTTTCTCGTTCCAGTATAAGGCTAGAAAAAAAGGGGATTTTGAGAAATTTAGGTCATGCTTTTATGTGCTTTGTTTTTTATCTGTGTGCCTGGTATTTTAGAGCAGACTTTTCTTGAGGGTAGTGGCTTGTTTATACCATTCTGTAAATAGCCCTGCCTAATGTGGGCTTTTTACAGATATTTTCTGCCAGGTTTTATGTACGGATTGATATAGCATCTGACTGTACCAACCAGAAAAAATGCTGAGCCAGGGGACTTGGTTATTCCCCCTTTTTGTTTGGATTTCTAGCTTAGTAACTCATTGGTCTTGAACTCCCTTCCTCTGTCAGGATGCCTTAAGACCTGCAGGTGCTAACTGTTGTTATTGCTGTTGACTGAGCCCCATATGCACCTCAAGTGCTCACTGACCTATCTTTTCTGTTGCAGAAACATTGCCGAGGCCCTTGTCAGCAAAGGTCTAGCCACAGTGATCAGATACCGGCAGGATGACGATCAGCGGTCCTCTCACTATGATGAACTGCTTGCCGCTGAGGCCAGGTGAGATGCCTAATTATTAAAGTGAATGCCTTGGGTCCCCCAGCCCCACTTTATTCTTTCCCACTCCCCCGCCTGCCCCTGAGCAGAATGTGATGGAAAGCAACATGCTGAGAAAGCCCATATTCTTTTATGATTCTAGCTTTTCCTCATCAAGATAAAAGGGACCTCACTTCATACTTGCAATCTAACCTGGGTTAAGCACACTGGGGCCTCTATTTTTTTAAATTTGCAAAATTTAGGCATCTATTAGACATAATCTTCCCAGAAGATGCTGTAAAATGAACATATGAGTAAATACTATGTGGAATATTTTTATCTCCGCCATCCTTTCCTTCCCAGGAACAAACCGTGGAACCCTTCTTACTATGCAGGACATTTGCCTCAGGTTCATCCCTCCAGGGGCCTCTGCTCCCCAGCCCCTCCCACACCTCTAGACCTTTTGTCATGTACAAAGGAAATGAAAACATTTATTAGGAAATGAGTTTGGGTGTCACACATCTGACAGCTGGCAGGAGAGCGTTTGTGAGAAGCCCCGTGACATTTTCCTTTTGTCCTTCATCCTTGTGGCTGGTTGCCCCAAGGACATGCATGCTGCTCAGCAGTATTTCTTAGCAGGGGCCTTCCTCAGGGCTCTTTCTCACGGGGCCTTCTGTCACTGGAACGGGACTGGGAGCAGAATAATTCCTCTAGCCTTCCCAGGAAACAGCAAGAGCTCAGTGACCATTGCTGGATCCCTGTTCTGATCCAGAGCTCAGCAGACTGCTTCACTCTCCCAAGATATACCCAATCTCTCAGAGCAGCTTCAGATACTTGTCTCATGTCACACTCTCCTGTGACCTAGGAGTTCATCCTAGAAGTCTGCTAGTTGCCAGCCTGTGCTCCATGGTTCGAGGAGGAATGAGTTTGAGCCCATGTTATCAGTACCTCAGATTTCATCCCTGACATCACTTCTCTTGCTCTTTGGCCCAGAACATTGACCTGATAGGAGGCATTTGCCTCTAAAACCATGTGACATCCTGATGGATAGGGCATCTGTAGGATGTCACACAATGTCAGCTAAGAGAGCAGCCTGTCGCATTGCTGTGGCTTTTTGGATTCTTGTGGGATTTTCCCCGGAGGACCTGCCTAAGACTTCATTCTTAAGCACAAAGTTCACTGTCTTTGGTTGTTGAATGTCGAGTGTAAAATAATATGACATGGACTTCCCCAGTGGTCCAGTAGCTCCCCTCTGCTCCAGTGCAGGGGGCCCAGGTTCAATCCCTGGTCAGGGGAACTAGATCCCACATGCTATAACTAAGACCCAGCACAACCAAATAAATACATTAAATATTAAAAAATACTAATACAATGTGTAGCCCATAACTGATGTTTCTCTTCAGTCCTCCCTCACTTCTTATGCTTCTCTCCCTGCCTGTATTATCATTAAGCCAGTGGGTTAAAAGGACCCATAGCGGGAAATGCAGCTCCACATTTCAAGTACTTTTGATGATCTCGCTATTCTAGAAAATGGGCAATGATTTGACTGTTCTTTATGTGGGATTTGGGGGTGGGTTCTTGCTGGGCATACTCAGTTGGTCTGACGGTATCCTGAAGAAGCAGTCACGCCTTGCCAGCGTAGCAGGAACCCTTAGCCATTCCATGGGATCTTGAGTCCCATTTTCTGCTCTGCCTTCTCTCCACCACTAGTGAATGTTTAACTCTGACAGGCAGGTAAGCGTGAAAATAATTTGCCTAGCTGCTCCGGAAAGTGAGGCCACAGCAAGCTCTTATTATGCTGTCGGAAGTAGCTGTGTTGTGCTCTAATGTTTAATGAGTAAGCAGAGTTGGTGAAATTTTTTAGGTTTTAAGAAGAAAACAGTCCGGTTCTCATTTTGAGCTGATGGAATGTAACAAGATGCTTGCCTGTTAAAGCAGTGAGCTGCCTGGAGATAATTGTGTTGAGCCACTGCTTTCAGACCGATGGTGGAAAAACTGGCTTTGGGGCCACGGCCCTGTGGCAGGTTGACTAAGCAGAGAGCAACCAAGTGATTCCCCTGCCCGCTGAGGCACCGCCGTGAGGCAGTACATACCTCACGACATGTTAGAAGTGGCCCGTGTGACCTGCACGTGAGTCCTCTTCAGGAGCAGTGCTATCCATGAGCCCCAGGAAGGTCGCCCCATACCATCTTCTAGATGCCAACCCCAGCGAGAAAGACAGGAACACCTGCCAGATAGGAATGGTGGCCTTATAGCCTTTGAAGACTATTTTCGGTGCAGAATGCAAACACACACACACACTTTTGGGGAAATGCTAGTCGACCTTAATGCAAGAGCACCTCTTTTCTGAACACTGCTTTATCTAAGGTCGCACTCCAGCCCCTAGAAGACATTCCCTGTGTCACCTTAGCACTTCTTTGCTCATGTCATGTTACAACATGTCAGAGCGCTTTGTGCTAGCTGCCTCTGCCCCTTACCCTGCCTGTCTCGTGAATGTGAATGTGATCTAGTTCCCCTGGATAAGCTGTATCTTTTTTTTCCCAATTGAACTCGGCCTTGTAATTTTATGTCCCTGTCCATGTGGTTCCTCCACCTCCCAGCTGAGTATCCTCTGCAGATCTCATTAGCAAGTTGTTTACTCCTTTCCTTAGCCCTGAATAGAACCCCTAAACAAGAATGGCTTTGCTGTTGACCCTAGTCTTTCACCGCCTGGACTGTCACTTAACTGTCTTTTGTTTATCATCCTGCAGCCACTTTTTAATCTTCAGTGATTGTGTACTGAACCACGCCAATTTGAATTAATTTCCCAAGTAAAATTTCTGGAGGTACTGTATCTAATGCTTTAGCAGAGGCCGAATGAATAACATCTGCTGTGTTCAGGGCAAGTCACTCATCTTGGAGCTCTTTGAACGAATAATAAGTGGGTAAAGGTAACATTGCAAGGCTAGCAGGCATCTTGAGTCACCCAAGGATGGTGATTCTGAGAGAATTCTCTGTCCCTGAGCCCCAGACCCCCTTTTCCTCTCTGGTTGTCACTAGTGGCCTTGGCCGTGGTGCCCAGTGCTCTCCCATTGACTTGGCTTCCCAGAGCGCTGCTCAGCCGTTAATCCTTTTAGAGGAACACTGTAAGCTTTGGGGACAGGGCAGCCTGTTAGCTCGGCTGACTCTTTGGGTCAGCGCAGCTGCCTGCGCAGGAGCTGATGAGCCCTGCCGCCCCTGCTTCCTCTGTGGGGCTATGATCTGCTGACCTTTCTCAGATCATCTGATGGGAGCTCAGGGAGTGACGCGTCAGGCGCACATCAGGAGAGCAGGTGAGACCGAAGAGGAAGAAGAATGCCAATTTGCAGTTCCCTATGCTTTCAAGCATATCCACCTGCTCGCCAGAAACGAGCTCACCGTACCCTCCGCAGCTCTGTTCTGTGTGCGCCTGACCCTCTGTGGCGCCTTCATTTGAATGGCACTTTGCTTTTGGGAAACCCTCAATATGCCTCAAACACAGGGCACATCTTGAGGAACCCACATCTTTTTTTGTTTAGAGGACAAATGAACCCCTAATTCCCGGCAGGCGGCCTTCCTTTCTAGTTCCCTTGTCTGTCATCGGCTGCCTCTTCCCTCCTTACCTTGTGTCCTGGCAAGATAAGGGTTTGGCACTTTTGTGTGTATTTTTGGGCCTTGCTTCTCTCGTGGGCTCCACTGAAAAGCCCTTGGTTGTGTCCCAGCCTTGAGAGCTCCAGTGTGTGTCCTCGACATTTTTAGTAAAAAGAGCCTGGGTCCAGCTGACCCACACTTTCTGATGACCTGCTGAACTGGGTGCCCTCTGTTAGGGACATCACGTGGTCTCTTTCAGCAAGTGTGTCGTTCCCTTCTGCACCGTTCTAATTTTTCACTCCCATACTGACTTCCCAGCGCTCTCATCCTTGTCTGACTTCAGTATTTCTTGGCCAGTGGGCTGGCTGCTTTGTTTATCTTGACAAAGTATTCTAAGCTGAAGGCAGAGCTCTCACTCCTACCGGGAGTCACATATCCTTCCGAGGTATTTCCAAGATACTGGGTCATTCATTATAGGGACCCTTCTTATTTTCTAAGGTATTACACAGTCTCTCAAATTCTATGCGTTTGATATGGCATGTCCTGTTTGATTTTAAACAGTACAGAATGTGAATTCCTCTAGTGTTCTACAGGTCTTCCTGCTGGGCTTTTGTCAAACTCATTATGGACACTAAAGATAAGATGGTAACGCGTGGAGTAAAAGCCTGGCTGTGTGTCCTATTTTCCTTGGACATCCCAACCTATAGGATATCCTCTGTCTGCATTCTCCTAAAGCGACTTAATATTAAAATGTAATATTTTAAGGTTTCCTGGAAACTTACTCTGTGGTTCATTGCAGGACAACACAGAAGTTGTTCAGAAGTTGGGGCTTTATTCCTTTAAGGCACCTTTTAATTCTAAGGATTTTGTGATTTCAAGATAGGCTGTATATATTCAGAAAAGAAATTGATGCCCCAACTTGACAGTGGGAAAGCAATTGTATTGAACAACCTAGTGTCTGAGCAGATTTAAATGAATTTAGATTCATTCTGGACATCCATAATGAGGTTAGGGTTATCTCGGGAGAAGAGAAAAGGGCAGACTCTTATCTTTTCCTGTTTTCTTCCTTGCCAGCTCACTGCAGATTAAGGAAACGGGGGGCCTGTCCTCCCTCTTGGTGAGGCAAGCATGAGCCTGCCCTGTCTCAGCGCTGTGTGGACTCCTTGTCCTCCCCAGCCCTGCAGGGAGTCCTGTTCCTGATTGCAACTTTGCTTTTCTTTAAAAACAAAAGCAACTAGTGTTCCTGCCTTGCTAACTTCGGCATCTCTAGTCTCTCAGCCCTATAAATACCAGTCAGGGAAGGACAGAGGATGAGATGGTTGGATGGCATCACCAACTCATTGGCCATTAGTTGGAGCAAACTCCGAAAGATAGTGAAGAACATGGAAGCCTGCCAGGCTGCAGTCCATGGGGTCGCAAAGAGTCAGACACATCTT